AATCATAGTCTTTAATGAGCTCCATAGCACGTTGTTGTCGCATATTAAGTGTATGTTGGTCAAACAAATACTTCAAACTCTTATGATGAGTGTAGAGTTGACATTGCGTGCCATAAAGATAATGTCACTACAGCTTTAGAGCGAAGACTACAGCCGCCAACTCAAGATCATGAGTGGGGTAATTCTTTTCRTATTCCTTCAACTGACGTGATGCATAAGCGATAACCTTTCCTTTCTGCATCAATACACAACCAAGTCCCAATCGTGAGGCATCACTATAGACTACAAAATTCTCACTACCTTTAGGTAGGGCAAGAATTGGTGCATGCGTCAAACAATCTTTCATAGTCTGAAATGCCTCCTCTTGGTCTTAGGTCCACACAAACTTTACATCTTTGTGGGTAAGGGAAGTGAGAGGAACATAAATCTTAGAGAAATCCCAAATGAAACGTCGATAATATCCCGCTAGGCCGAGAAAACTCCGAATCTCTAAAGCATTTTTGGGTTGTTTCCATTTCTGTACTGCTTCAATCTTAGCAGGGTCCACAGAGATGCCATTATCGGACACGGTATGTCCCAGGAATTGTATCTGACGTAGCCAGAATTCACATTTCAAAAATTTAGCATAGAGCCGCTCCTTTCTCAATAACTCCAACATCTGTCGAAGATGTGTCGCGTGATCAGCCTCCGATTTCGAGTACACAAGGATGTCATCAATAAATACAATGACAGACTTATCGASYATTGGTYGACATACTYGATTCATTAAGTCCATAAAYRCAGYTGGGGCATTTGTGAGACCGAAAGGCATCACCAGAAATTCATAATGCCCATATCTCGTACGGAAAGCAGTCTTAGGTACATCCTCCTCCCGCACCTTTAGCTGGTGAGAACCTGATCTGAGATCAATCTTGGAGAAGAACCTTGCACCTTGAAGCTGATCAAACAAATCATCAATACGGGGTAACGGGTATTTATTCTTAATTGTTACCTTATTTAGCTCGCGATAATCGATGCACATCTGAAAAGATCCGTCTTTCTTCTTGACAAACAAAACCGGAGCACCCCATGGTGAAGTGCTTGGTCGTATGAAATCTTTATCCAATAGCTCTTGTAGTTGTTTCATCATTTCTTTCATTTCTGGAGGCGCTAGCCGATAAGGAGTCTTCGCTATCGGTGCTGCACCCGGTATCAAGTCGATTCTAAACTCCACTTGCCTATCTGGTGGCAATCCAGGCAAGTCTTCAGGAAACATGTCCGGGTATTCACATACTATGGGTACATTGTCCATAGTCTTCTTCTTCATCTCCTTTGACGAATCTATGACATATGCTAAGAAAGACGAGTATCGTTTAGATAAATAATGTCTAGCCTTGAGTATAGATATTGCCTTAAGGCCGATCGCTCGTCGTTCACCTTATACATATAAGAATTCTCCATTTTCCATCGGAATTCGTATCATTCGCCGTGAGGAAACGATATCTGCTCGGTTCTTTGTCAACCAATCCATACCAATTACCACATCAAAGTTATAGATATCCATTGGAATCAAATCAACTGTGAACTCATGATCATCCAGGTTAATTTACAGTCTATATAAACTTTATCAGCTACTAGTGTTATTCCGTTCGCCGTGTCAACATTAAAAGGTTTTTCAAGCATGATTGGCACAGAATTGAGGTACTGAGTATAACCAAGTGACACAAAAGAATTCGTGGCTCCCGAGTCAAATAAAATACATGCAGGTCTATTATTGAAAAGGAAAATACCTGTTATGACGTCCGGTTCCTTCAATGCCTCCTCTGCTGTGATTTGGAAAGCCCTGGCTCGTGCCCTGGGCAACTCCTACTTTTGGGTTGAAGTACCCACTCTCGTTGGTTGTTGTACAGAGGCTTTGCTTTCAACCCTTTTTATATGGGGACAGTCTTTCATATGATGCCCTAACACTCCGTAGGAAAAGCATGCAAGATCTTTCTGAGGACAATTCCTCCTAACGTGACCCGCTTCACCGCAATAAAAACATTTAATGACAGATCTATCCGTTTCACACTAGCCTTGGTGTGTCTTTCCGCACCTCCGACAGTCTCTTTGTGTGCTCGACTGTAACGTATAGGCTTGAGAAGGAGCACGAGCATTGTTCTGAGTCTGCGCCCGTCTTGGTGTAAATAGTCGTGATGGTTTATGTGACGGTGCCGAGAAGATCCTGTCAGTTCTTTGTCGTTTTGGTGTGGAAACGGTATCATTAGGTACCGTTAAATCATGTTCGCGGCGTCGAGCATATTCGACAGCTTTACCAAAACTCGGAATATCACGGTTCGCAACGAAGTCACAGATTTCTCGTCGTAGCCCATCGACGAAATGATTAATCTTGTCTTGGTYAGAAGTCATAAACCGTTGAGCAAACCGTGCCTTTCGGTTAAATTCAGTCTCATACTCAATCACAGTCATATTTCCCTGCTTCAGATCCATAAATTCTTTCTCAAGGCGTCTCTGAAGGTCCGTTGGGCAGTAGTGCTCAAAGAATAAAGCTCGAAATTCTTCCCACGTCATATTCTCTTGGGTAATTGGGTCAAGGGATTCGAACGTATTATCCCACCACACCAGTGCTCGGTCGATGAACATCGCGGATGCGTACTTCACTTTATCATCATCGGGTATCCGAGTGATCCGAAACACCTTTTCGGTATTCTGTATCCATTGCATTGCAAGTACAGGATCTGGTTGTCCTGTATATTCTGTCGCTCCACTGCTTCGAAAGGTTTTAAATGAGACTCGTTCGATTTTGGTTCATGGCACGTCGCCATTAATTGGACCCTTACCTCTATCATCAGGTTTTAAAGCATTATTACGTTCACGATCTTCCGTTAACCGTTTCTCAAATTCACGTCGTTGCTGTTCTAACGCTATTTGAAGCTGATCTGTCATATATTTCATGAGCCTTTCGGTACGAGGGGATATCAGAGCATTCTCATCATTACTGGTGTTACTCCGAATATTCTCTCCGACATTGGGGTCCGGTGGAGTATGGCTCGCCTCGTCGTGATCCGACATCGAGCTGAAGATGGAACATAAATCTATCAATTATAATTCTAACCCCAGGTCCCCCATCCATCTTAAGTCTTTTCTATCGGTCCATATCCCGTATAATCATCACTTAGTCACTATACGATGTCAATGCCTAATTTAAGTCTAGATACCACTTAATGATATCTAGTTCACTTAAACCATGCTCTGATACCATAATTTTAACACCGATTACGCTAAATTCTTCATAAAAAGAAACTATTTATCCAAAATATTTTCCATAAATTCTATTCTCCAAGCAAATACGGGATATATATATAAATTATAGATTTCCACCAAAAATAAAATAACATAATCTGCACTCGACGATTTTCGGTAGTATAAGTTGGATCCATAAATACAAATATATCTATCCAAAAGCATTATATACCTAGATACAACTCAAAACGATATATGCACAGTGAGTACCAAAAGATGTCCAGGATCGAAAATCCTACAAGTAGATCTAAACTGTCTTATCCTTCCCTTGGACCGCTACCGACTTTCCTGAAAAGAGAGTTTATTCTAGGAGAATAAGCAACAAGGCTTAGTGAGATTATACCAAAGCTTATAAATATATATATTTTAAAAGAACGGTACAAGTCATAGCCGAAACAGAACAGAACGAATCATTTATTTATGAATTAGACCGTTAACTCAAATTCAATCTGATAGAATCTTGCCCAGAGCGCAGTACAACCAGAGGCTCTGGTCTATTCCACAGAGGGTCTGGTCGTCCAGAGGGCCTCTGTCCCGAAGGACTTGGAATCCATAGTTTAATACAACCAGAGGCTCTGGTCTACACAACCAGAGGCTCTGGTCTACACAACCAGAGGCTCTGGTCTATTTCATAGAGGCTCTGGTCGTCCAGCGGGCCTCTGTCCCGAAGGACTTGGAGTCCAGAGCGTAGCAGCGGGCCTCTGGTCCCAAAGGACGGAGTCCGGGGCGCAATACAACCAGAAGCTCTGGTCTAGACCACAGAGGCTCTGGTCGTCCATCCATAGCGAAGGACAACCCCAAAGGCTCTGGTCTATTCCACAGAGGCTCTAGTCGTCCAGAGGGCCTCTGTCCCAAAGGACTTGAAGACTTGGCCATTTAAATCACGGCAAAAACACTTTGAATCTTTCATCCATAACATACATTGCCTATTAAGACTTTTTAGGATAATTAAAATCAACTACAGCAACAAAATGTATMCAATACCAAAGGTATCACTACCAGAATAACCATGTGCACCACGYCCTTCTTCGTCTACCGGGCCCGTGCAAAGTATTCACACCCGGCTCCTKACCAATCGGGATACGTGAATACGACAACCGGTATGCCACACCCAACCTCCCTCTCCTTGGGATACGTGGACATACACCATGCTACGGCTTATCACACGAAGTAATACCCGTAGATYATGGTTTATCAAAAAGCCAAATAAACAKTCTYGGATCCGGACTCAACCACAAGTATAAGAATTAAGTAATACCAAACAGAATTAGGAAAAATTCACCTTACAGAATCACGSATGTAAAAACATCAACTTTTCAGTWAGAGTTCTTATATMTATACTATATATAAGTATAAGTTSGGTATAAACTCAYAGTGCTTTATAAAAACAACYGAATGTTGTAATAACCAATTCCGATCAACAATAGCAGTAAACCTTTAGAGGCTCTAAMCAGTCTTAAAACAGCCCCTGKAGTAAACATTYCAAGTATCAGAAACCAACTATATTCCAACCTCGAGTTATACACTTTAAATCTTGATTATCCTATTTATACTTTCTTGTACAGCCCCCTGTTCAACCCCTGTTTTACCACACTTAGACCCAGATTTAGCCATTGACCTGAAARTACTAAATAAAGTATCCTCTTAAAGMYTTMTAATGAAACTAACCTCACATTTTTAYGATTTTTCTGAGATTTGCTATGTTATTTACAACACARCAGCTCAAAGCTGTCKAAATCCAGCTTTATAACTCACTGCATGTTGTCGATTTACCCAATTTAGCTTCAWATTCACACATTAATCAACATTACCTTTTATAATCTGTCTAATGCAGAACCTAGCCTCTAATTTAACACTTCTACTTGAAATAAACTTGTAATTAGGAGCATACCTTTGATGATTAATACTTAATCTTCAAGAATCTAACGTGGATCATCAAGGATTGAGGGATTAGCCTTAAGTGGGTGTAAATCGCACTTCCAGTGTGTGTGAATGATCTGGAGTGAAAAAAATACCATTAAAGGGCAAAAATCTCGTTTTTGTACTAATTTGGTCAACAAGTCAACCTAGTTTGACACAGTTGGCAAATTTAGTCCCTCATGCGTATCTTGGTCGTTTCAACTCCGTTTCGCACGAAACTTTTCAGATCTCATAATTGATGTATAAGAGGCTTAAATGTAAAATTTCAGCCTCTAACGCGATCCAGAAGCCCATATTCCTTTCTAACTTAAGTAAGTACTAATCCTTAAAATACTATACTAATTTAATTAGACATGCTTAGCAACTTAAATGGGCTTTTTGTAAGTTGGTTGTTACAATGCCCTATCAGCAAACCTTGAGACTGGTCGATTCAAATTTTCCATAAACCTCGGTCTATGGAAATCAGTTACTGTAGCTTCCCCCTTTCTTTTCTCTCCAACCTTTTCTTGTGGTTGTCGGTTAATGTCTTGCTCCAGAATTTCAGCAGCATCAACTACCGCTTGAAATGTTGTCGGATTCCTGGATATCACATATTTTCGAAGATTCGACTCCAATCCCCAAATATACTTTCCCACCTTACTGTTTTCAGATATAATATAGGCTTCAGCAAACCTAGATTATTCCATGAAAACTTCTGTATACTGGCGGACTAACATGTTTCCTTGCTCAAGACGAAGGAAATCATCTTCCAATTTTCGTACTGCAACTTTAGGACAATACTGCATTTTAAATTTAACCACAAACTCTTCCCACAACATGGTTTTTAAAATATTCGAATCTGAACTGGACAGAACTTCCCAACAGTACAAAGCACTTGATCTCAGACATGATACAACAAACATAACTTTGTCCTTTTTTGCACTTTTACTAATTTGCAGACTCAGTTCTATCTCTTTAAGCCAACACATGGGTTTAACACGATCACACTCACCAGAAAACTTGGGAGGTTTAGAGGCAAGAAATATGTTGATATCTCCTCCTTTCTGTACTGAGGACGAAATGAGAGGTACAGATGTACCAGTTACCAGGGTACTAGCTCCGGCTTCTTCCTGCTGCTCAGGTTCCCTTAAAATTTTTGGATTATTCGAAACTGAACGTCCCAACAAATTTACCAAGCTCTCTTGCAATTTTCCTAACTCAACTTCCAACATTTCCTGACTAATAATCCAGGGTCAGGAACATTGTGTCCACCCCTTGCTCTTCCTCTACCATGGCCAGACATTGAACTTTCTTGGGCCGACAATTCCTGTTCCCCATGAGTTTCTTGTCTAACACTTCTACCTCTTCCTCGATTCCTACTGCGACTTTGTGTTTCAATCGTCATCACATTTTCCAAGTCTTCCCCTTGATTCATATTTCTTCTTCCCCGACCTCTTCCGTAACCAGTAGAGGTCCTTTCTGATTGATTGGGATTATCTGCCATTTCTCAGTGTATAACTCTTTCTATCACATTTAAACACACATGATTATTCTCATAATCAAAACATAATAACACATTTATCCTCAAGTCTATCCGTAACTCAAATTATATCAATCATATATAATCTATCTTTCTTATAATAGGTTCAACTATAACATATTCCCCATGTTCATAGCCCTAGTGAAACCTATTATCATAACTTCCACACCTCTAGTTTAAGTCTAAGTATTTCACAAATATCCAAATCCCTTAAACTAAGGCTCTGATACCAACTGTAACAACCTACATTTTCCCACATACAGATAATCCACATAATCATACTCATAACACCGAATGTAATATCGTTTACAAAACATGGATTAACAAAAACTTTTCTCAATACATTTATGAGTAACTAAATTTCAACTATTCTAAATTTTCCCCTTGCCTTTATCCTGTGAGGTATGATGACCTGCAAAATAGGTTAGTCCAACAACTGAGCGTTGATCCTAATAGGTCTAGTGAGTGTACAAATTTCCCATAAATACATATTTTCCAAACCAACAGTTTAGAATCAAACCTGTACAGATAAAAATATTTATCTCTTTTCTCTCGCGGTTACACCGCCATTTCATATTTCTCNATTACATCTCTCTCGCGGTTACACCGCCATTACATCTCTCTCGCGGTTACACTGCCATTACATCTCTCTCGCGGTTACACCGCCATTACATCTCTCTCTCGCGGTTACACCGCCATTACATCTCTCTCTCGCGGTTACACCGCCATTACATCTCTCTCTCGCGGCCACCGCCATTACATCTCAAATAATGTAACTTTAATCAAATTTAGCCGGATAAGGAAATCCGGTCATCACTGTCCGGATATCAAGTCCGGACAAAGACTTAGAACAATAAAGTGGTAATCCGGACAACACTTGGGCGGTTTAAGGCTTACATCGAACAACACATAAGCGATTTGGCTCTAAATCGGATGTCCTTTGAGCGGTTTAGGGTAAATCCGGCCAATACTTGAGCGATTTAGGTTTACCTCAGATACCTCTTGTCCGGTTTTAGGTATATCTCCGGACACCACTTGTCCGGTGTAAGTAAATATTTGGACACCACTTGGGCGATTTAGAAAGAATCCGGACAATACTTATCAAATTTAATAGTTAAATCCGCATGATATATAGTAAGATTCATAGTAATGCAATTCAAATTGCAATGAAATGTATACAAATCTTTAATACTTCAAAGCATAACACACTCACCTTTGATTTTGAATTTGACTTCAGTTTATCTGTAGCTTCTTTTCACTCTTTTTCTCCCTCCGATTTTCTTCTCAAATCAACCAAAAAAAGAAGCTTTTCTTTTTCAAAGGCACTTGC